GTGCCATGCGTTCAAATGATGTGTATTCTTTTCAAATGCACATTTTATATATAGATATTTGGGTACTGTTTTAATATTGATAGAATACGACAAACAAAAACCGATTGCGCTTATACAAAAAGTTTCGGTGCAGTCTATATATAGATTTTTGTTTACAATATTTTAATACTCCAAGTCTAGTGAATCTATATCTGACAAAGATAGATCCACGTATAGTCACCCACTCTCTCGCGTACGCTGAAATACACTCGTACACACGATCCTACATATACATATTCCTTAAACACACCTAATATACCTTATATATAATACCTTAAATATTCGCACACACACACACACACACACACACACACACACAACAACACACACACACCACACACACACACACACACACACACATACACACACACACACACACCCACACCACACATACCACACACACACACATACACACACACACGCACGCACACACACACACACACAACACACACACAACACACACACACACACACACGCACACTCACACAGCACACACACACACACACGACACACACACACAACACACACACACACACGTACTCCACACACACAACACCAACACACACACACACCACACACACACACACACACACACACACACACACACACACACGAACACACACACAACGTATACACACATCGCACAACACACACCGCACACACACACACACACACACACCCACACAACACACACACGCACACGCACACACACACACACACGCACACACACACACGCGCGCGCGCGCACGCACATACCCTAACACTAACGTACACGCATATACAGAATCCCCTACTCTAGTTAGCACTCCGGTGTTCTTTATTTGTATACGGTCATTATGTAGTTGAAATCGCTTTCACGCGTTCGTAACCATGTCAAGCATCAATTTTCACGGGAAGTCACGTAGTTACAAGTTTTATATCCACTCGACTCGACCAACATAACAAGATTTCTCTTTCTATCCAAAAAGTTGCGCACATTAATCGCTTAATCGATCATCATTACAACTAGTTTGTCCACATTTCACGCGTCCACAATGATAGTATAGTTTCACGTACAGTCAGTCATATGTTATAGGCATAAACGAGTGTAATACGTTCTTACTACAAATGTTAATACGATAATTATGTAAATATAAATACACCAAGATTGCTGATATATACCGGTATTTACTGTGAGGAGCATCTAGAGTGGGGTTTCCGTGTAAGCAGTTACTTTGCCTTCGTGCCTTCGTAACTCTTTGAAGTCAGAAATATTGGCACGCCGAGAATTGTCTCCGAGAGGTCGCCACCAGCGGCATGAATTGCCGACGAGCGCAATATTTACCAGCAGGTTTAATTAGTAGGTATGTGGGTCATCATCCTTCATGGTGATGCCTAGATGTCAATTACATGCTTAATCCGGGCATATTACTTTACAAGGAACTCCGTCGGATGTTAACATAGTCTGTAAAGGGAATTTGCCTGCGCACAGCATGCTATGGTTATAAAGTATATACATGCATTGCGATATTACGTCGCACACCTCATGTTTGTAATGGTGTACTTTTAGTTATGAATTGTTTAGCTGATTATTTTATATGGGCAATATAGTTTTTCTACAGTATGATCTAATTTTATAATTCCTTTTTATTCGTGCTAAATGTTGTAAATAGCAATTAGGTCTATCAATGATTATTGAATTCTATGATGTATTTACTAACACCAATCTTGTCATTAATACATTGTAAACAAGTATTGGACCTAATGCGAAACGCTGCAAATATGTTTAATGAATAATTAATTAAATAAATAAATAAACAAACAAATAAATAAGTAAATAAACAAACAAATAAATGCATGA